CTCTCGTATGCCTAGTACTGGAATTTCTTATTCGCAGCGAAACACAATTGTCCACGAATCAGTGAACGAATAATTAATCCAAGATAAACAAATTTGATGTTTAGGTGATTGCCCCTCCGAACGCAGGACGTACTACATACGAGTTAGTTTTCGAAAAACCCACGCCAGACTTTAAGAATATTTGCCCTAACGGCAGCAATAACAAATTTGAACTTTGGTGTAAAATTCTTTTAGCTGCAGATCACCCTAAAACAACTTCCTTCTAACATTATTATTAAGCTAACGCAAATATGCCCAGGCTAAGACGATATGCCGGATTTTCAACACGATGGTACTGAAGGTTGCAGTTGATGTAGTCAAAGTTCGTTCTTACCCCTTCATTGGTTAAGCACTATAACGACATCTCAAGTAGTCTCCACAGGGATGATCTGCTTAAGAAATAACTGTATCAGTTATTTCAGTCTGGCAAATGTACTGTCAGACTTTTAGGAAACTGTCTCAGGCGTCAGAAATAGCCAGACGATCCCATCCATATAGGAGGAATTGTGCAGCACGAATTGTACTTCTTGTTTTGCGTGTAAAGAAGCCCTGAAATATTTGCTAGGTAGCCAAATAGTTCTACTTTCCACATAGCTCGAAGTCAGCGCTCGTCACGTCAGCGACCACGCAAACAGTCGCATACGCGATTGCGCAAGAGTGCTTTCTCGGCAACTTTGTAAAGTGGTGTATGGAAAGAGAAGACTAGAGGCCGAATCCCATCGGACCCACATTTTGCGAGTCCCCCAGCACGCCAAGGGCGTCTCGGATACCGTCAGTCAAGTTATTTTTGTGACGGGTTTGGGGTTAAACGCGGATCAAAAGCAACCAACTGGCACCAAATAGTGAAGTTGGAAGACCCGCTGTCATTACAGGAAATACCTGAAGTTGCGTAGCAGATCTGGTGTGGTTGCGGGCAAAGCAGCTACGTCGGATAAAGTAGAAGTTATTGCGGACGCGAGTAACCAAACATGCAGCAGTAGTGAAGAGGAGTGACGCAAGGTCACTAGCAATTCAGCGAGACCTTCAAGTTTGATCATGCTGAAAATCCGGCGGTGGGTGAAAGCCATGTGAGCTGAGTCATTTGAATCCTAGTTTTCCGATCCCCTTAGTCGCCAAGTACAGCACCTTACTCCTTTACATGGAGTGTAAAATATAATTGGCAGAATAGTCACTCGGGAGAACGTGAGCGAACGTAGCTTCCGACGAAAGTATCGGTGAGCACTTTTCCGAGTAATCATCATGCAAATATCCAAATTGGTGGTGAAATCGTGCGAATTAAAGGCTCCGATACGAGCAATCAAGAAATGCTCGCAGCATGCACTACCATTTGCGCTAAGTGAATAAATTGTAAAGTTTTGTTTAAAGCATACTGCGTATTCCATGAATACCGCACCCTTTTTGTGTCCTTTACTTCTCTGTCGTTGTTTCCAATGGCGAATTCAGGTGTGAACACAAAATACCAGCCGAAAATTTTTTTGGCTAGCGATTGCATCTTTCTTCTCAGTTACATCACATTTATCTCAATCTGTTTACTGCCTTTCAAAATCTTCAGGGCTAAATCTTCTAAATAAGGGCGGAGAAAAAGAGTGAAAAAATAGGCCATTCTAAAGACTCGTATGATGGTTAATGTGGCAAGTCAGATATTAGGTTCCATTTTTATGTCCCATTGCACACAAAATCGCACCGTGGCCAGTGAGCTCGATTGTTTGGACATCTTTGGAGGTTCGCAGGAGAAACATCCTCGTAGTCCGATGGACGGTCCGAGGCGGCTTTGATGCGAATCTTTCTAGGCAATTTCTCCACACACAATAAGCCAATTTTGTCTCCTGTGGTCGGTAGCTTAATTCTAGTAGATCTCTATTTGTCTTATAGGAGTACCAGTCCCATTTGATCGCTTTTGCTATAAATTAGATTGTTTTATATTTCTCGTTACTGGCCGGACTCTTGCTATGCTTTTTTCCGCATTGTAGGAATTGCAACATTGCTAAGCTCTTTTGACCCCCGTCATCTTTGGTGTTTTTAATTAGCAGATTGCGCGTGCACTA